TATATACGTCAATCAATAAAGCCACAGATATTATTGTCGGATTCCCTGTCAAACTTTGTACAATATGAGCTGTATACAAGTTATTCGTATTCGGAAAAGATACTTTTGCAATATTTTCCGACCGTGGAATAAAAACTATGTCTATTTTAATCTATTTACAATATAATTACTTTTCATTATAAAATAAAATACAAAATTGCGCTAGACAAAGAAAGTTTGACATACTTGTGGTTACATGTAATAACCTTCAAATATAAAAAAATTTGTGAGGACAAAAACTATAGAATAAAAGGTACAATTAAATTCTAAAAAGCACGTAATTAAATTTAGTTACCAATTAAAATGAAGACTTCTAGTTGCGAAAGAAATCGGATCTTCAGCTGTGAGAGCAAATGAATGAATTCTAGCCATGGTAACATATCAGAACTCTCAGTGTACGAACAGCCGGTGAATTAAAAAACCACCAACGAGCTACGTCTGATTGATTTGCTTTCAAATTGAATCATCATATATACAATATGTCTTGGAAAAATACTTGGTTACTACTTACATAGATATTCTTACGAAAAGATATAATAAGTTAAAAAATAAATAACAAAAAATGAATTAAGAACCGTATTGATTACACAGAAATGCGCGGTTCTAGAACGTTGTAAAGTTACAACATTGTAGTGAATCTGAAACGTTTTCACAAATCCTTTATAGAAAAGGAAAAAACATATTCATGTAAAGTGCATTGGTGTAAAGTGCATTGGTGTAAAGTGCATTGGTGTAAAGTGCATTGGTGTAAAGTGCATTGGTGTAAAGTGCATTGGTGTAAAGTGCATTGGTTGGGAACATGGTGGAGTGGCAGGCTGGTTGAGGAGAGCGTGCGCAGGTAGCAACAGCATCATAATGTGCGCATATGCCTTGACCTCATTGAGGCTGCCGGCACACATGAGACCGCCTCATGAGTGCTTACTGCTTACTAATACCCACGTACGCATCACTGCCAAAAAGTGGCCAACTTTAAATCAGGTTTGGTTGATCAAATAATAAATTAACATGATAATCTATGGCGATGAATAGTATTTTCATTTTTGAAATTCGCATTCGTTAACGTGGAAATAGTTTATAGCAATAAAGTTTGACGAGAAAAAAAAACAGCGTCGGTCGTTGGTAATTATCAAAAAATAATCTGCTGCTCTACTCATTGTCAAAGAAAAAGCATAGGAAAACTCAAGCAAAGCTAGTGATTGCCAATACAAATCATTTGATTGATTTTTTGATAGATCAAATTTAAAGGTTTAGCAAGGAATATCATATTTCCCAGGAAAAATTCTTTGCAATTTGGTTTTTAACTCAACAGACGCTGCTGCTTTGCAAGTGTCATGAAAATGTGTACCTCGCCCTAAAAAAAAATCAGTTTAAGCTTGCCGAAAAAACTGTAACGTTTAAGCTGGCCCACAAGCCATAACTAGGTTGCCGAAACACAAACTTGGTATACTTGGTACTTAACACAAACGGATCACTATATCGTTCCTTATACACATTACACACACCACCCCGGTGGTTTTTCATTCAACTACGTTTCATATGCAAATTCTCAATATTTTCCTTTATATATGAATCTCTCATAAAAAAAATTATGCACAATTAATTTAACCCAGTCGAAATAAATAAAGGTTATTTTATCGATCATATGTAAGGATGATACATGAAAATTAAAATGAGCGTCTCTAGAAAGAGCATGCAGCGCGGTGGCTCCTTGACCGCTCATATAACGGTTATGGCCTCGGGAATAAAAATAAGCAAGCAGGTGAAGCAAGATTTCGGTCTCGCCCGTAAGCTAGCTCAAGAAATGTAAATTTTATAACTTATTGCAGAAATTTAGACATTAAAGTAGTGAAAATATCAAATGAATTGCAAGGTTGAAATAGCATAAAGGCCTGTACAGGAACATCGCTAAAAACTATTACTTTAGTCATGAAAAACGCATAAGGGCAACGTGCACGTGTTTACCAACACATCAGAAATAAGTGGCTTGGTAAAAACTTTACAGCGCATTTTAATACAATAATAAATTTCTGGACACGAAATTCAAATAACGTGTGGTAATTGATGCAACAACATAAAAACCGCTGATGTTTTCTCCAACAGATGACTTCTTGGTCAATTTCAGGGAATGGACTTTAATTCAGTTGATCAAATAAAAATTCAACTTTTAATATAAATATAGGTCGGCGTCGTTAACATGTCCATTGTTCCAAGAAGGAAAAAGTTAGCAGCCAGCTTGCTTGCTCACCCACAATAAAACAAAGACTTCACAACTTACGTTTGGAGCCAATCTGTGCAGCGCAGAACTAGCTCAGACGTTAATCCCAGTCCAGGTCTCGTATTGCTGAGCTTCGTTCACGTTTGGAAAACAACGTAAAAAAGATAATAAAAGCCTAGGTGGCTGAAATTTATATCCGAGCCTGATTAGTCGATTTAGACAACACGCAATCTTATGCCTTGACCGTAAGTATCACCAGATTTTGCCCATGAAGTTTTATCAGCCACGTCACAGCAAGACCGGTCACATGCATAATCAAAATTCCTGCGGGCCGTCAAGGAGCCAACGCGCGGGGTGGGTCACCTGAATTGCCCCAACTCATCTGACAAATGCGACGTGCGTTCTTTGGCACGTGCAATCGTACGAGGTCTGCCAACCCTGCCTGTGTACGTGCAGAGCATCACATGCATACACTCTTCAGCCTCTGGAGACACACTGTCTGCTCGTGACTTTCAAATCATCCACCTTCAAACATATTAGTTAGGATCATTTTATTTGAGTCATATATTGGCTTCTTATAAAGGTAAAGACATGTAGGATTCTCTTCCGTTAAGAAATCCGATTTATCAAATGTCTAGTGACGTCGTGATCCAATGGCATCACCAATGAACTTGTCACTTGTATTTAAGTTCATTGAGTTCACTGAGTTTAAGTACGAATTCCAGTATAAGTTTTTGACACACGATGCTTCAAGCTCAATAAACCAGTCTTGTAATCAGTACGTCAAGGTTTATATTAGAAATTCATCAATTATGGTTTTCTGTAATACCACGCATTGTGGCACAGCACTGAAACCTTAACCACATTTTATTCTTCCATTAAGCATAATAATTAAATTGGTATATTTATCTGAAATTATTGTGTGAAAATTAGCAATATCTCGCACTTTTCGAACGCAATGGAATTTGGCTTTAACGAGAGTGCGTGACCTCAATTTAACGTCGTGTGTCAAAGTACAGCTTGGTAATCAAGCTGCACCCTGAGGAGCCAGGTTACATGACCTTTTAATTTTGATTTAGATCGCAAAACTTCATGACAAGAAGCTGCTCAAGACGAGCGATCGAATATCGTTACTTAATGCAAGGAACAATCGCGACATTGACGCGATACGAACAGATCGAAGTTCGACTTTAGATATAAGCTGATGACGGTATAGTTGCTGACGTAATTGTGAATCACCTAAATGAACTGCGTTGTACCTTCAATAGATTTTATCGCACCTTTCACCGATAGGAAGCATGAATACACGAATCTAGGTACCAATGAAAGAATTGGAAGCACTATCAGCTGTAGGTATGCAATTTATCTCTCAATAAAACAAATAAAATCTACAGGCATATTAGAAGAATTAATTTTATAGGTTTCATCTCTCGTTCAGCACAATCAGAAACAGTGAATTTAGCATTCGCAAAATTGTAATAGACTATAGCAGTTAATGTAGATTACTATCCAATTGAAGAAATCGACCTGCAAGAAAACAACCTGGTGATGCAATATCATCAGGTGTGAGCAATTCACAGCGGAGATGTGGGCGAGCTGCATGCTTGTGTACTGAATATGCTGTTGCCAAGCAGAGCCTAACTTCTAGAAATCTCAGCAACGACGTAGCAGATTACCGAGAAAAGATAGTCCGAGGCTCTCCGAGAACAGAGCATGAATTTCTTTGTATTTCATATGCCCAAAACTTAGAATAACAGCGCGATGAAAGTTGAAAAACAATCAAAATCATAGCGTTAGGATGCATTTAGTTATTAGTACTAGTAATGAACGTATAATTAAGGTAAATAGCATTCAATTCAGTTTCAAATTTATTTTTATTTGAATACCATTAGGTTTAAAAATATGGAAACACAATTGCTAAATATCTGTATACAGTTTTCCGAACCTCATCTTTAACTTCCTATTTTATCCAAATTCAATTGACAATTTCCGTCTTTGATACGATTTTACAATGAAAAAAATAGAATTGAATAATATGGTATATTTAGTTGAAATTGTTCGTTATTTACGAGTGATACATACTGGACGACTTCTTACTTGTGGCATCAAAACTCTAACATCATCGTTTTCTTAAACTGTATCGTACCATTATCACGGAGTCACTCTGCAACATAACATCCATCATAAACACAGCCTTACGCTGAAACGTGCCAACAGCGACGAATTCAAAATTTGTCATGATATCAAGTATCATAATCATTTTTCGACGTCTCATAACAGAAACCTACCATATTATCACTGCCCCAAGCTGCAACTTATCATCAATGTCTCAGATGATATCAACTATCAAACTTAAACGTCCCAGTAACAAAAAATATTTTTTACGGATACAAAAAGAGACAACAACATTCAATACTACTATCGTCAGTTTGTACTTCCATTATGGATCCATTTCCGTTTATATCAATAGTCATTTCACCCTTAACGTAGAAGGATCAATCAAGCCGGATGGGGTTTGTGCACCGTCGTGTACGGTGTAGTACCTGTAAGGTCAGTAATATGATGCGCAGTGGCAATCGGTTTTGTGGCTTCACGAAATCATGATTTGAGAGCTTTTCAGCCGTTCACTCTAGCCCTCTCGCACGAGTTCGAGTTACGTGCAAATCCAATCATTGGAAGCTCAGTAATGAGCAATTATGATACATTTAAGCTCGGTATTACGTTGAATTATTGGTAAAATACTCACCACTCGTGTCGCGTGTCATTCTGCAGACAGGATGCGTAGCTATAAGATCCTGCCAGTCCTGTTGGAAACTGTCGTCCATCTCCATTGTTGGAGTCGGGGCCATACTAATCTCAACACAACCAAATCACAGGGAACGATGGAGAAGTTCGGTACAAGATAATCTTTATCGGCTTTCGCTTACACCTTTTTCCAATTTCTCCAAGAAATTCTACAGAATCCCCCTCAAATCTGAGATAATCAGTGATTGAGCAAAATTGTTCAATTTTCCACCTCTCTTTTCACCGTTCCAGTTGTCTAGCAATCGCAGCTTGCGGCAAGTACTGGTTTTTTTTAAGCCTAACGCTGACAGGGAAGCAGTTCGCGGGCACAAGTACTGGATTACATGGAACAGTTGTAAGGCCTGAATGGATCGCCCGATGCACGTATTACCTCTACCAGTCTACCTTGATGATTGTGTATAAGAAAGATGCGACGACACTGTCTTCAGTTAAGCATCAGTTGTAAATGAGATAACTCTTGAACATTATTTCCCAGTTGGATTCAGGGGCTCTCAGTAATTTTTTTCTTGATTACATTCACTTGAAGGTCGAACAAGGTCTTCTTAGTCTTCACTTCTTGACTTTCGGGTAGAAAAGGTTGTATTGCTCGCCAAAATATCGGTACAGCTGACGCAAACTCATCAGCGGCTCTGCTCAGTTACGGACAATCTAAGTTTATGAAATGACAGTGTTGATTCAAGTAATACCATGTGTTATTGTGTCAGCGCGTACCTGATGAACCCAACAGCGCTAGTGAAAAAAAAAATAAACAAACGAACAGCTCTGCAAGGGAGATAAACTAACACAAAGCAGATGAACCGCCGTGGAATAGATTTATTTTCACAGAACTATGAAATGGCAAAAATCACTTGCGAGTCCGTATTCTTTGTGGAAGAGACACGCATCCTCTCTCGAGGTTTTAAAGTGAATGGAAACTTTTATAATCATTGGGTGCACTATATATACGGGCAAAGTCGATGGACAAGCCCAGCGGCCAGTAAAGGTGAGAGCAAGGACAGTAAACGGAACGGCGCACACACACGCTGCGGTCTGGTTTAGAACTGCGGTCGTGTGGCACCAGGCACATCAACACCGTGAAGTGATCACCTCACCACCACACTCGCCTGCTGCTTGGCTAGCATCACCACCACGAGCATGCGCCGTAGCTGCTGTGAGCTTGCCACAGCTGGACAAGACCGCCAGAAGCTTTCATACATATCAAAAAGATTGGTGTCATTAACACTATCACTTTGATAATTTATTACACCTCAGAGCAAAACCTAACTTTACCATATAAATGATAAATTTACTGCATAAACATAATTAGCGAGTGAATATGAATTAAATACCGTACCTACAACGTAGAATGGAGTAATAGAATGAAAATCCCGCTGACGTGTATCAGAGAAACCTCACTTGTAAAAATTCTAATGCTCAAAACTAATTTTTTTGAGGTATTATCATCACATGCAAAGTCAGGAAACACACGTGTCGTTTTCGCATGCGGATGCACACAATTAATGACGTACCGTTCTTGAGGAAGTAGTTGCAAGACCTTACTTACAGTAACGGCCGCACGTGCTTGCCGTCCTCCACTAGAAATGCTTCCTAATAATTTTGAACATATGCTGCAAATTTTAGTTAGTGCTTCCTGAACGCAATACGAATAATTGTTCAGTAAAATTTTATACTGTAAAGTTAATTGACGTTGGCGCCATTTTTGAGAATACTCACATGGTTTTCGAGTCTTGCACTGTTTTAGTGATTTTCACTCGAAATGGCGAACATGCAGCTAGGTGTTTCAACGGCCCAAACAATTGAAAATGTATTTACCTGTTGACTTGAACAAATCAAATAAAACAGGAAATTTCAATTCAATTTCAGCGTGTCAATTGCTTCTAAAGCGTTTTCAAGTCTTACTACAAGATGGACAACAATCAGCTAAAATAAATAAGTCTAAATCACAGTTGTCTAGGTGTCATTGTTTTAAAAGACCGACCATGGGTTCAGCCATGGTTGAATTAATACTTGAATTAATACCATACTTGAATTAATACCATGGTTGAATTAATAAAATTAATATTAATTCAACCATGGGTTCAGCTTCCTCTGAAAATAGACTGGAATGTCGGCAAATCGCTCACCCGAGAGGCATGATGTGATCAAAAATGCGCGGAGCATGTAAATGGAGGCCACTTCTCAGCGAGACATTGCTGTGTTAATTGAATTATTTGCGTGGTTTTAACTGCCGTGAGCACTGCATACCTTATTGCAAGTAAGTATGAAATATATTGAAATTAATAATGAACGGAATTAATACTGAAATACATGGTTTTTCTTCAAGTATGGCACAGCACTTTAATGCAACGTTTCCCAAGTAGTTTCGCACGAATATAAGCGATATATTGTGTGACTTAACTTGACTATAAATTTTGTAACGATCCGATTGCTATATAATTCTTGTGAGCCAATCAAACATAAAAATATATGTATGGCTAGTATTATATTGTTATCATACGAGGGCGGTAAATTGAGTGAAGTGGCACTGTTAGCACTTGCATAGAATAAAATTGTCTTCGTATATAAAAATTTATCCATATGGAAGTATATGTTCAATTGTTAACATAATACTTCAATGTCAACTTTATATTAGCTGGACTGAGCTACAGAAAACCTTCATGGAGTCGCAATAGTAGTCCAAAATTTATTTAGTGGTACGGACCTTTACCCGTAATAGTTCACAATAGAACAACTAATCTGAAATTCCTCATTCTTCCCCTAGATTGTTTTCAAAGCCTCACGGTCTTGACAGGGTCTTTCCCATCATAGGCCTCATTGTAAATGCGATCCTTATCCAGGATCCTTCCAAGACGACAAGACGTCAGTACAATCGCCCAGACGGTGGGGTCTCAATAGAGTTATGGGTATGGCCCGGACGGTTGCAGTCAAGTAGCTGAAAAGATGTAGCATAAAAAATCCTGGTTTTTGCGTAGCGTACTTTGCCTTTTACCTGTATTGGTGGTCCAGGCTAGACCATCAGGCCCAGGCTCTGTCGGAGGTTAGGTACTTGTCGGTTGAGTACGTAGATGATATCATTTAACATTATATCTTATAGAATTATTACTTGTCCGGTTGGGTACGTAAGTGCTATCCTCCTTTATTATTTCAGTGTTCTATAGGTAGTTCAAGAAGGTCATTCAATTTTTAGATAGTTCACACAAAGTAAATCCCTGCGGCTTCGAAACTCACAACCTAGTGGTTGGTTCTAGGGTTGTCAAGTCGGTACGTCTGGGCATGGAGTGTAAAGTCTTTAATCTTGTAGCGTCATTCGCAGTAAGTGCAGGAATAACTTCCGAACGCTCGAAGACACTGAGCTAGAATTGGTTACTTGGTTAAGATACGGCGCAGCACCGACGAAGATATTATATATAGCGCCCTGAAAATATACGTTCTTCTTTCGACAAGACGTTCATGAAAGCGCTTGTTTACTGAACCATGCATCTACCCGAAAATCTCTCCTTGATCTTTCTCTGATTCGTGGACTAACGTATACTTGACGCTAAGTCTGCAAGTCAGTCAGTGCTTCAGAAACGTGATTCGTGATTAATACTTATTTTGACAGAGAATTGCGAAAACTCCTCGGGGATGAAACCTTGCAACTTAACTCTCCGGGAACATAACTTTCAACTTGAATTATACGTAAACTATTGAGTGTAGCAACAACGTGAGGACGTTTGTAGGCAACAGAAAATATTTTAAAGTTGTCGTACGTGGCGGAAACGTTCAGTGCACGTCATTTGCGCTCACTGGCTAGTAGTAACGTATAAATCAGATGTGTGACAATATTGCTCCGGTTACTCGTGTCAGGCGGTAGAGGGTTAATTTGATTGAACCCGCCATTTAATTAAGGTTACACACCGTTTTTACAGCGAGTTTTTGTTTCCTCCATACACAGCAGCTGAATTATCCTACGAATTAGAATAACATTTCAAGATTTGTCGATCATGTTGATCTCGCGTTCAGCTATGTAACGAGGAAAATAAACTTTTCGTAAATTACCTATTAATTCTAGTTTTGAAGAAAATGCATTGAATGACGGTTACTTGTATCATGGTTTGGCCAAGTGAATGTTTAATTGGCGCTCTAGATCTCCTAAGATTCATGACAAATTTTCACTTTCTGACCCAGTGGTGAATTGCAAAAATTTGATTTTCACGCGAAGCTGAGCCGTTTCTTGTGTCTCGTATACATTTGTCGCTAGTATTCTGTTTTTTTTTTCTCTCATCACTGAGAGAAAAAAATAATAGAATAGAGAATAATTGTGGTAGAGTGTTTGTACTGAATACAGATGGCATGTTAGCGGTGCTATATGCTCTGTCGGTCTACCGTCTTGTCCTTGTGAGAAAGTACACGTTTCGTATTATACCCTAAGAAGCTAGTTCACCACAACCGCCAAGATGAAACCTAACCGACGCTTAACTGCATAACAATTGTACGATATGTCGTGTGTGAAATTTGAGTGAACTAATTCAAAATGAAGCTAATGTTTTCCTTTTGAAACATCAGGAACCCGCAAGCAGAAAATCGCGTATAGTAATGGTGTCGTACACGCCGGAAGTAATTAGCGTGATTATGATGCTCGCAGTTCGCGTGGGTGCCGAACTAGACAAGAAAGGAGACTTCGGGACAGCTTCAGAACATGGGACGTTAGTACGGTATCTATCGCATTCGGTATTACTTTAGATTAAGTGCATCAAAAAAAAAGTTTTTTTTAATTAAATGTTTTTTGGGTGTAGATTAAGAATCTGAAATCCGTTTTTGGCGGCGGTCAGCATCGGAAATTTTTAATGGAACCTGTTCCTAAGTGGACCTAACCTGCGAGGTTTTCGTTGATCGGCTAGGTTTTTTCTATGTTTGGAGTCCGTCCGGCGGCCGGAAAAACCTAGCCAATAAGTTTTTTCTATGTATGGACTTTGGAGTCCGTCCGGCGACCGGAAAAACCTAGCCAATAGGTTTTTTCTATGTTTGGAGTCCGTCCGGCGACCGGAAAAACCTAGCCAATCAACGAAAACCTCGCAGGTTAGGTCCAGTTAGGAACAGGTTCTATTAAACATTTCCGATGCTGACCGCCGCCAAAAACGGATTTCAGATTCTTAATCTACCCTCCAAAAAACATATAATTAAAAAAACACCCTTTTTGGGTGCACTTAATCTAAAGTATTACCTCGCATTCCTGCAATGTTCATATTCTTTCATTTTTGTGGGAGCATCCGCGTGAAGTGATTCATATCAATCGGCACGTTTGATTGTTCAAGTTTAATGCTTTTGTTTTAGTCAGGATCGTATTCATATGAATGCAATGAACTCCGCTACAGAAATCAGACATCGACTTCTTTGAACCGAACATTAAATGTTTAACATCTTTAAACTGAACTTATAAAACTGAATGAAATAAAATTTAATATTGCTTTGATTTCACTCGAAATTTAGTTTACGTGTGTGCTACGTTTTGGCCAACAGTTGAATGGATGCATGAAATCAATCGAAGTACCTAGAGTATTACGTCTCAGTTCTGAAATGATTAATGATAACTTAGAGACGTATTAGTCTCAGGCAGCCCGCACTGCGGGCGCATTAAAATTTGATCACGATAGACGCATGTGTGACTTCATTCATACCAGACGCTTTGTGTCCCATCAATGCACACTGCATAGTGAAGTCAAATGAGTGTTGTTACCTCATCAATGAATATAGCATAAATTATCCTCCAGCACCACTGAAATTTTTGTTCATAATGATTTGCGCCGTGTTTCAGTGACTCGCCTAGTGGTCGTGTGGTGCTGTTGCTAAGCTTCAGCGGCCTCAACAAGCAGTACCTGGACACCTTCGATCTGCCCAACTTGCTGTACCTGCGCGACCAAGGCCCGCACCCCGTCAACTTTGAGTGAGTTGCCCAACCGCTCGAGCTGTAAGAAACCCTTTGAATTAGCCTCTTAATTGGGCACGAGCTGCTGGTTACTCAATGAGCTCCTAATAAGGAACTGGCTGATAGTTCCATGGCTAACTCATGGCATATTGGCTATTATTTTCTCATTAGTAGTCAAGGGCTGTTCACGCTCACATATGGCTCTACTACACTGGGGAAGCAGAAGCTGTATGAACCCTCAGGAACCGTTCATAGGGTAATCGCCACTCGAACCCAGAGATTCTTTAGTAGGAATGGGCTCAGAGATTCCCTTTTACCACGAATTGAGCCTGGATAGCAAGATTTTTTCGTATCTTAATCATTTTACTCGCTTCACTTTGACCAGTTTCTCACTGATTTCCGCTATTTTTTGATGAAATTTTGACCTATGGTGCTCTAATATTTCGCTCACACCGCAGGCCTCAGTACCCTGGTACAAGTGCGCCCAACTCGTTCGGTATGGTGACGGGCGTGTATCCCGAGACTCATGGCGTGTTGGCCCAAGCTTTGTACGACTCCACACTCGGCAGAGTCCTCACATCCAACGATCCTGAGATGTATACTCAGAACCCGAACGTCACTCCACTTTGGGTAAAGACTGGGGAGTAATTGCAGTGAACACTTTACATAAAACTGTTGCAGCCGGCTGTGTCGCATGGGACAATTTTGAAAGTTAAATATGGAATTAAAGGAGACTATTTACTGACTTACTTTATAAAATAAGGAGTAGAAAGGATAATGGTAAGATCTATTATGCGCAGGCTGTCTTCACCGATGGGCACGAAAAACAAATCCAATGACTGTCGAGTACACGAAAAGTGGATAGTTTTGATGGTTAATATTCATCAACATTGGACGTAACGACCATATCGGCATCATTTTATCTATGGATTACTATTCTACGAATTTATATTATATATTTACGAGTTGGTAATTATATTCCCGCAGATTTTAAACGAACAGCGGGGAGGAGTGAGTGCGTGCATCATGTGGCCAGGCTGTGAATATCCATTTTCTGGGAGACGACCGACTTACTTTGTCCCTCAGAGCTCCAGGCCTTCCTTCACGTTCACGGACGCCTTTGACCTGGCGGTTGCTTTCGCCACTGCCAGGTTCAGCGCATCCGATTACCGCCGTTATGTCGTTGGAGATAATACGCGTGCCGAAGAATCCCCGGGCAACGTCAATGAACACGGAAGGAAAGGACCCTCGATTGCCGAAAGTACTTCAAACATCTGGAGTCTCCATCATCTCAGCCCAAGTGTTGAGCATTGGTACACTAGTGAGCGCGAGGAGAAATATGTGCCAGTGAAGATCGAGAAAGAGAGCAACAATTTGGACGAAGTTAAGCGAATAGTTGATTCGGCAAGCGACGCAGATAATAACATTTCTAGCATGGAAAAATCTCTATCTAATCCTAATTATCAAAATGATTCTAGGAGAATATTGAATGCATCTGATGATTATAATCGATACGAATTCGCCACTTTATCCGAAGAGAGCCTCATTTTTACCTTGAATGAAAAAATGCGCGCTAATTTTATTCTGATGAGATTTGAAGAGCCACACACCACGGCTGAACTGTACGGCCCAACATCGACTCAAATGGAGGATATTCTTCACAAGGTTCTGGCGAATTTATTTCTTGAATTTTCTGTCCGTGACACCGCTTATGGAGCACGGGATGACTATAGCATGCTAAGAACCTAGGATATTCCGATGGTTTACTTATTGGATCGTATGTTTCGGAATGAACTATTTCGTGCATGATCATCAATTGAACAACATGACTACATTAGAAATTCGTCGATGCATTGATGACGCTTGCAATAGATTATTTAAATAATTTGACAGTTCAGTACCGAGGTTCATATTACTTCCATCCTAATTTTACCCTACATTCTAGCTCGACGACAGTCTGCTGTACCTGCATTTGTTGCTTCAAGAGCACGACCTTCATCACAAAGTTGAGTTGGTATTGGTGAGCGACCTATGCTCGGTACCCTTTGGTCCTCCTCTTGAGCCCTCGCTCAAACTGAAGAATGCCGGTCATAAAACCCCGGATTTATCAGGATCCATAAAAATGACTGGGGTTGAAAGGAATTACAATGCGGAAGAACCCACACCTGGGTTGCAGGAAACTTCGGACGACTTCATTATGGATTTAGCAGCCATTTTGCAAGGCCAAAACGTCACTCTAGTGGGAGAAACTCCCCTTCTCCACATTTGGCCTAATCAAGGTATCAAATTCGGTGACGTCCATCTCGAAATCACTAGGATATGTTGCGTAAACGAGTAATAATGGGAAGGATGTTGAAAAAATTCGTTTTTACTAAATTAATGGCTAAGATGGACTGCTCTTGTTTGAAGAGTTATATTCACTGCAGTTTCATATTTTTGTAGGCACGTGACATTAAAAACGTGGAGACAAATTAGAAATAATTATGAGAATGACCGTAGAAAGTGTGTATTTCGGTACAAATTTGAAACTCGACGAATTCATTTGACTGATTGTTTTTTTCCCGCAGGTTCTAATGAGCTCAAGATTTTGAATTTACTTGAAAACTACTCAAATCGGAGCCATTTCAGTGTCGTCAAGAAACGTGAAGTAAAACTCTGGCATTTCAGGTAGATGACATTGTATTAACTTTCATTAGTGCGTTCATTGAATAATTGCAACACTATAAGTCACCTGATTTATGTCTTCTTTGATCCGTAGCAATAAGTGTTCTTTTTTCCCAGTCAAAATCCTCGGATTGCTGACATTCTAGCCGAAGCTAATCCTGGCTTCGCATTCGTCGATAAGAGGAGAGGTGAGTGACAAGCGACGCGACTTCAACTCATTTCTTATCTTTTCAAAATTACGCTCAATATAGGTGCTTATGCACGAGGCTAATATTAGCTGCAAGTTTTCGCACTCCAAATATTGTCATGATTTATTCTTCAGATGCGAGTAGGCTAGCTGGTTCATTTGCGTCGGATGCAGTTGAAGTTGTTAATGTGCCGTCTAGCATTAACGGTATGGCTGCCGCTCTGTATCCTGCTTGAGGCAAATGTTTCTAATGTTATTACGTATTAACTATGTCTTGTCCCAACGACGACGGTTCTAAGAACGTCAAGAGGTGTTCAGATGATGTTGAACTCTTCTTATATATACTTTAAAAGTATGATCTACTGTGGAATGTACGTGGCGATAAATATTAAAAAAAAAACTTATTAAGAAAGTAATATTTTAAAACGGCAACGAGAGACCTTATTAGGCATTTCACCCTCACTCTACGCTGATCTACAAAGGTTTCCCCTCTTCAGCTCGAGTTGCAAATATGCCACCAACTGCTTCACCTTCCCTATTCCACCGTATGCAGACCACACTCAACTGCTTCCAACAACGCACTGGCCCTGGATGCGAAAATACTGTTTACCAAATACTGTCCTCGTGAATAAGCTTTCAGCCGGCAAAACTGGGAGTGTAAAAACTTCACCTACTCGTAGCTAATAAGCTACTTGCGCAGCGCAGCTACTAGCCCCGTGTATAAGCGCCTCAGGAAACAACTCGTATGTACAATTAAGTATCGATCCTATGATTTAAACGCAAGCTCCAAAAATTTATCCATTTTTAAAGGTGCCTGTACACGAGGAAAGTTTCTGCCGATAGTATCAGCGCATACTATTATTCGTTTCTAGTTTTATCGGCGCAAAGCTTTTACACCTGGAAGTATTAGCTGACAGTATTTTCTCACACGTAAGAAGACATCGGCTGGTATTGGCGCTCTGTGAAAGAATTTGTAACGTGACAATGCGAGTGAGTTTCACGAGGCTTTTGATAAAGCAGTTACTAAAATTGTTTTCATTCTAGTTGAGAAGGTGAAATACTTTGTCAATCAACAGAGTGTGGGTGAAAGAATGGGTAGGACTCAGAGATAACTTATGAGCACCATCGCCTTGGTTTCGTGAATTTACAGAGCGACTCAGATTCGCGCACTTTTCAATTTTTACTAACACCAATACTAGCCAAATCTATTAGTGGCTAATATTATCCTCTTGTACAGGTGTCTTAACGGAACGTCCATATTCGATTGATTAGTTTCAGAAACCTTGCTTTTCGATTGGAGAAGAACTAACGTTTGGGCTCGGATCTGAATTTTAGTATGATATCGTGCCACATTTATTAAGTTCACTTACTGTCGTATCGCATGCTCTTTATGCCATTTACTCGGAGAGTTTTTACTATTTATCCCGAACTAATATTTGCATTTTAAACTCATGAGCAACAAGGTTTTATGTTTAAGTAAGAACATCCATGCTCTCATGAAAACTTTGTCAATCAACAGAGTGTGGGTGAAAGAATGGTTCTAGTTGAGAAGGTAAAAAACTTTGTCAATCAACAGAGTGTGGGTGAAAGAATGGGTAGGACTCAGAGATAACTTATGAGCACCATCGCCTTGGTTTCGTGAATTTAAAGAGCGACTCAGATTCGCGCACTTTTCAGTTTTTACTAACACTAATACTAGCCAAATCTACTAGTGGCTAATATTATTCCCTTGTACAGGTGTCTTAACGGAACATCCATATTCGATTGATTAGTTTTAGAAACCTTGCTTTTCGATTGGAGAAGAACAAACGTTTATGCTCGGATCTGAATTTTAATGATATCGTGCCACATGTATTAAGTTCACTTACTGTCGTATCGCATGCTCTTTATGCCATTTACTCAGAGAGTTTTTACTATTTATCCCGAACTAATATTTGCATTTTAAACTCATGAGCAACAAGGTTTTATGTTTAAGTAAGAACATCCATGCTCTCATGTGTTTTATCGAACAGCAAACAAGTTAGAGACTTGGCGAGCAGTAAGGGCTCTACCTACACTAAAATGCACGGAGCAGTCGGAGCCAGTCATGTTGATGGCTGGGCCCTCCTTTCCGCACAACCGAGAAGGTGGGATACCAAAGCTCTACCCTTTCTTCTTAGCTGATACCTGCGTGTCTTTCCAAGTTTTAAAGGCAGTAAAATTGATGCGTGTCCAGAAAGCAGCGTAACTGTCTATCTCAGGAACGAACTGATAGGTACATTGTTAAACTTTGCATGCGTTTGATAGGTTTTTAGTGTCAAACTGGATTTATATACTGGATGAGTTCTTCCAGTATATTTTATCACAACCTCCTGCTTTAGTGGTACGCTGGTATAGTGAGAGAATTACAAATATTTATAGTCTACATTGTTAAACTTTGCATGCGTTTGATGGGTTTTTAGTGTCAAACTGGATTTATATACTGGAAGAGTTCTTCCAGTATATTATCACAACCTCCTGCTTTAGCGGCACGCTCGTATAGTGAGAGAATTACAAATATTTATAGTCTGCGAAAATAATGGATCACGTTAAACACAAGTTTGTATTACTTGTAGTGTCTTCAATGCAAGCCATTGATGTGTTCGCTGTGGTGACCCGCCTTCTGAACCTCACGGCTACGCCCAACAATGCATCCATGATAGCAGTCGACGAGCTCTTCAATGCTTCTCCACGCACCTTAGAGAATAAGGTCCTCATGGCTGCTGCCATATGCGGTGAGTTCCACTATACTCGTACGTCTGCAGAAATATCTGATAAGGTTATTCAACAGGTTGGAGGAAGTGAGCGTTCAAGAGTTAGGTTTTAATAATAATATAATAGCGGTTTCAGCGTTTAGTCGACGATTCTGACCAGAAACTGGCGCACAGAGCTGGGATCGAACCCGCGCCCTCTCTGTTTCTATCTTGGTACTCTGAACTATAACCACTGGGCCACCCTAAAGTAGCTATAGTTCTCGTAGTAAACGAAACGGAACCTACTAATATAAAACGATTAATCGATAAGGAAATTCATACTAGTAGGACGACAAACAGTTGGAGTTTATCCGGCGCATTGAGGGAGAATTGTCTAATGTAGTGACTTGTGATGACATCATAATCAACGGTAGAATGAAAAAATTGTCTTGTAGAACCAAGGAAAACCAAGTGCAGAATCACAAAATGCAGCTCAATGACTGTGCAATTACTTATGCAATAACTGTCTGCTAAGGTAGCAGTATAAAATTTGACTTACCTATCATACTAACCATTTAAAACAGCTCTGCTTGTGACGATCGGGCTGTTGTTTGTGTTTGTGCGCTTGTACAAACAGCCCAGGGACATGGTCTATGAAACTGCTTACCGCAGCGCAGTTTACAGGACCACCGTTCAGCCGACGGTCTCTTTCAGCCCTACCAACAGGTATCTCTGAAGCTGAAATATGATTTACGCCTTCGTGATGTGAATCATATTGATTTATCACGTATATTTTAGGTTTTACATTTGACAATTATAAACAATGTACAAAATATTTTACTTTCAATAGTACACTAAGTGGGATGAGCGAAATGCGTTAATGAGGACCAATGTGAGGGAAACTTTAAGACACATTTTTACATTCAATAACATTATAATCCATTTCCTTAGCGGAAGACAATGGTTTCTAACCTTTGCAAATTTAACCCCCACTTTGAAAATTCTTGGTGCTTTGGAATACTGGCATAAAAATGTAACGCATAACCTGGCATAAAACTGTTACGCACAGTAAATATCACAATAAGGAATCGGCCATTATCTTTCACACAATAAATATTAACTAGATTTGATAATAGAATTTATGTTTTTGCGAGTAGCAGATGGGACGGCACTAGTGAAGTGGTGTTCGTGAAGCAGCCGGACCCTCATACGGCGCCGCTATCAACCCTGGCGTCACCCATCATCACTCAGACGTCGCCTACATCAGCGTCAGATGAGCAAGATCTGGGCTCACGACACAGCAATGCAAGGCAGTCCACTCGATCTTCTCTCGACAGGAGCGAGCTCGACAACGAGACCGCGAGTCTCATAACTAGCAACATGCTCCCCGACCAGTCTAGTGATATTTAGGGTTATTAAAACCCGCTGAAATATTTAGAAAAAAAGGCGATGAGGTTAAGTTAGTAAGATCTAGAGGAGGATGTCGTTATTTAGGAAGGAGAAAATTATTTCCAGGCATTTAAGTTCTCTCTAAGAAAAGTGTTTGATTAGAAGTTCCAACAAATGGCCTTGCAAAACTTGATACTGTCAGCTCAGTTTTTTTTTCCAGTATGTGAATGGTAACAATGGGTAACATCAATAGCATTCTGATCATCCTCCGTGTACATTATTTCCATTCGGGGAAGCTTATAAATTGGACGATCGATATTTTAATCTGTGTGCATCAAACGATTGATATAATATATGTAGAATAAAGAATAATAAATAAACGAATAAAGTTAATAAAAGGTCAGTTAAACCTTTTTCATTTTTTTATTAGGAACAAAATGCGACATGAACGCTAGGTACCAAATATGTACATCAGGGTCGTTGTTCATTGGAAGAATAGAACTGAAATATTTCCATAAGACATCAAACAAAATGAGATTTCCCTTACGCCGTTGGCCTAAACGAGGAGAAAAATATAATATATCATGAACCTTTAGTAAGCAACTCAAGTTCTGTCATATATATCTAGATTAAATCAAAGTCCATCCTAGGTACCCTATAACCTTTATTACTGCTATAGTTTCCTGTCCTATTGAGAGCTACATCAACGCATATACTTAGAATGATAAAGCCTTGATGGTTCTTTGATTAAACCCGCCGGTCAATGAGAATAATTAAAGATTCAAACATGGCTAAACCCGCTTTGCAACGAGAGATAGACGTGTTGAAACTAAAAATTACTTCCAAGTTGAGGCAAACAAATTAATTAAAGTTGTGGCATTACCAATGTAATGGTAATGTCAGAACTCGCTAAGAACCTGCCAATAGCAGCATCAGTTAGGTTAGGTTAGGTTGACATCTCTTCTTTACTACTGGGCGGAAAAGGGTTCTTAGATTCCCTCGTTACCACATCTTGAGCCGGTTTAGCTGACATTCCGCAACTTGTCTTGGGATAGACCTCATTACATCAACTAGTGATATTATTGGCTTTGCGGGCTCCTCTTTATTTTTTTATTTTTTTATTTTATTTTTTTTTAAACGAATAAAAAATTATTTATTTCCTCTCTTTTATTGACATCATTGGCGTGTGCATCATCTTGCCGTAGAATTTAGTTGTCTGGTTTCAACTACAGGTCAAGTTTTAAAGCTGTCATTGTTTTCATGACATGGCACACATTTTTGAAATTCAGCTATAGCAAGCAGTGTTTCATTCATTAATTGTATACGCCACCGGCAATAATTTTACTGTATATAACTTGCAAGACGAGTCATGACAATATGTTCAAGCTTTTTCCAATACTCTATTTAAATTAAAATAACATTAATTCATCTTGTCGCACACAAACTCCACCGGCACGAGATCAGATCAATTCTTATTACATACATTACATACTACTAACCAGACAAATTATGATGGTCTTTGTAAACATAAAACTTTAATCAGAACCACATACAGGCCACACAAAAAAAAAACATCATAATAAGTGTGAGGAGGCAGCTTATAAAAGTCGCCCTCTGCACTTTTTTGCCCCGCAGTAACAATATTTGACTTTGCCCTGCACGCATCCCACTTCATAATCGTAGTCCCAAGTTAGTTCACAACCCGCACGTATGCTGCACGTCGCGAAGAATGACATGTAGGGGAACCGCAAGTCTTGGCTGTCCACAAACACGTTCTGTACGAAGACGTTCGGCTGACACGAGTGCTGGAAAAAAAGTTAATTAGTTTTTTATTTTCATGTATAAGTATTTAAAGTTTTAGATGAACAAGTAAGGGACAATGCAGACATTAATTCGTACACTGACGGGATATTAAAAATTCAATCTTTATTTTAGTGAAGTAAAAATAACAATGTACTGAGGATAATTAGAACAAGATTATTTTAAATTTTCCCAAAGATAAGTTGGATATCATTTTATCCACACAAGATTCTATAAATTCGCATCACCATTAAAAGCGTTGATTTAGTGACTCACATTGAGGAAGCGGCCAATGTTGCCGGCATGCTAACGCTGCTTCCTTCGAGCCAGCTTCAGCGGGCTGGACATCTGAGACCTTCCGCCCCTTGTGGGTGATGAATAATTGAGACCTTCCACCTTTATGGTGATGTTCATCTTGACTTTCGGTGCGAGATAGCTTAATAGCTGAAGCGCTAGTAAACATTTGGACACTAAACTAAACTAAACTTGTCGCACACAAACTCCACCGGCACGAGATCAGATCAATTCTTATTACATACATTACATACTTCTAACCAGACAAATTATGATGGTCTTTGTAAACATAGTCATACAAAACTTTAATCAGAACCACATACAGGCCACACAAAAAAAACCATCATAATAAGTGTGAGGAGGCAGCTTATAAAAGTCGCCCTCTGCACTTTTTGGCCCCGCAGTAACAATATTTGACTTTGCCCTGCACGCATCCCACTTCATAATTGTAGTCCCAAGTTAGTTCACAACCCGCACGTATGCTGCACGTCGCGAAGAATGACATGTAGGGGAACCGCAAGTCTTGGCTGTCCACAAACACGTTCTGTACGAAGACGTTCGGCTGACACGAGTGCTGGAAAAAAGTTAATTAGTTTTTTATTTTCATGGATAAGTATTTAAAATTTTAGATGAAACAAGTAAGGGACAATGCAGACATTTATTCGTGCACTGACACGATATTAAAAATTCTATCGTTACTTCAGTGGAGTAAAAATAACTATGTACTGGTGATAATTAGAACAAGATTTTTTAAATTATCCCAAAGATAAGTTGGATATCATTTTATCCACACACGATTCTATAAATTCGCATCACCATTAACACGTTGACTACGATTGCTTCATCTTGTACTATTATTTCATTTTTGTACTATTTTTAAACAGGGTTGCCAGACGGTCATTTTTTTCCGGACAAATTCCCTGATTTAGTTTTTCGCAATTGCGTTGGCCGGCTAAAATTTATGATAGGGGTACTTCCTAATTAAATTTTAAATACTGCTAAAAGAAAATAAATGGAATTTTTATAGTGGAACCTACAAATAAACTAGAATATTTTGAGTTCTCGGCCTTTTTTGTTCTCGGATTTGGCCAATTTTAAGCAACCTGAATTATGTACCACTACGTCCTGGAGAAATACATTTCGTGCTACGCATATGTACCACTTCGTAGTCAACGTGTTAAAAGCGTTGATTTAGTGACTCACATTGAGGAAGCGACCAATGTTACCGGCGCGCTTTTATCCACACACGATTCTATAAATTAGCATCACCATTAATAGCGTTGATTTAGTGACTCACATTGAGGAAGCGACCAATGTTGCCGGCGCGCTTAGCGTCTATGACGTAGACCTGCTCGTCCTCGCCGTAGTACTGACGATGGCTCTGCTTGGTGGGCGACGTTGGCAGGTTATCAGGGATGACCGCGCTGAAGTTTTGACGTCGTCGTTGCCTTCCGTCAGCTAACAAACAAATCAAGTATTATGTATAGGATTGTTTTTATTTAACATTGTTTATATCAAGCACGATGGCATTAAACAATAACTTCAATAGTGACAGTGGTAACATACATTAATATTTTCAGTATATAAAGTGCTAAATGAATATACATCATAACTCGCTGACCAGGCGCACAAAAGAGAGTTGATTCGTTTTTTTTTTAATTTTTAAGACATTCTTATAGATTGTCGTTCTCGGTTCATAACAAACATCTTGTTTATCAAACATGAACGCGTCATATGTTTTTTATAATCATTGCTGCTGATGTTCTAGAAAAACGTTTAAAGATTCATAAATTTATTACACACCTACTACTGGCAATTTGACCTAATTTAACTCATATCGAAAAATTTTACTACTATTTGACATAAGCGAGCGTTTAGAAAGAGGAAATCACCATCATCATCGTCGTCTTCTGAAGGCCGTCGAGATAAAGATGATGGTGACGCAGCTCTAGACGATTCTGGTGATGCAACTGGGGCGGGATCATCAGGGTCGTCTTCATCTCCTGTAATCAGTGGCTCCTTATTAGCGCGTTTTCTCATTTATGGAAAAAATGCACTATTGTGCTCGCCATGTCCGTCTGTCTGTCTGTCTGTCCGTCCATCCGTGACCTCAAGTCTTCGTCGACGAAAAAATGCGCTCTCTGTCACTCATTGCAGTGAGGGCTTAGCTATGTTTTTATATTATCAGCCTTTCCAGACACGACAAGTATCCTGGATACGGGTTCTAACAACACTTGTATACCTGAAGTGACGAGATGAAGAACACACACAAATCATACACATACTCAAAATTCGACAAATTTACATAAGGTTATATACGACGTGTAAAGCATGTAAGGGAACATTTTTCAAAACGTGCTGATGTAACAAACAGGTACAAAGACTTGGCGTAGCAAGGTATAATGTTCCCAAATTGTAACTCAATAAAAATTACTTTTTAAAGACAACACTTATGAACAATCCAGTGTCTTGGATGTTACACATGTACAGTGAATTTCTAATTTTATTTTTGAATATAGAAAACAATTATTTTTCAAAATTTGTTTAAGATAAAAAAATTTTGAAAAATTTCAAAATTATTTATTCAGTCAACTGATTCATGCATTGTTTCTGACTTCATGCAAGTGTGCAGAATTTCAGATCGATTGGACATGCCAAATTGTGTCATATATGGATTATAAGATTTGTAGCAGACGAAATTATTTTTAAATTTTTTTATGACGGAAAAAAATTTTTAATTCTTAAAATCATTTATTCTGTCACTTGATTCATGCATTTTCTCAAACTTTACGCAAGTGTGCCAAATTTCAGATCGATTGGATAGGTAGAAGTGTGTTAAATATCAGTTATAAGATTTGTAGCAGACAGACAGACAACAAGAAGTGAAGTTAAAGAGAAGTGTTGTAATAATAATATGCATTTAAAAATTGTTTTTTAAAGACAACACTTCCAAAGAATACAATGTCTCCTATGTTACACATCTACAATGAATTTCTAATTTTATTTCCATATATTAATCAAAATAGATTTTTAATTTTTTTAATATTAATATATAAAAAATAAATTTTTAAAATTATTTATTCTGTCAATTGATTCATGCCTTTCCTTCAACTTTGCACAAGTGTGCAAAATTTCAGATTGATTGGACAGGTAGAAGTGTGTTGAATATCGATTATAAGATTTGTAGAAGAAAGAATAATTTTTTTTCAATTTTTCATATTACAAAAAAAAAAAATTTAATTATATATTCTGTCAATTGATTCATGCATTGTCTTCAACTTTACGCAAGTGTGCCAAATTTTAGATCAATTGGACAGGTAGAAGTGTGTTAAATGGTATAAGATTTGCAGCAGACAGACAAACAAACAAACAAACAAACAAGAAGTGAAGTTAAAGAGAAGTGTTGTAAAAAGAGACCAGCTCATAAATTTGTGTGTTACACAATAGGTAGAAGTGTGTTAAATAACACACTTCTACCTATCCAATCGATCTGAAATTTGGCACACTTGCGTAAGTTGGAGACAATGCATGAATCAAGTGACAGAATAAATGAAGTGAATTTCAGTTATAAGATTTGTAGCAGACAGACAGACAGACAACAAGAAGTGAAGTTAAAGAGAAGTGTTGTAAAAAGAGACCAGTTCATATTAATTAATTAAAAAATATCGATAGCAGTTCAAAGCTATGCATCCTATACAAAACTTAGAAAACCCACTTGCATGTCGTTCAAAATAGGAAGACGCAGATTTTAAATTCAATCTATAAATTCTGATTTAAAAATCAAATTCCAATCCTATCTTAGTCTTTACATTCCACCATATTCTGTAATGAACTAATTTTTACTCCGAGGAAATATTGCGGCGTATGGTGAATAAGCGCTTACTTAGCCCCTATATTTTTGCGGCGCCGCGAATACAACCCGAACGCACTGCTGATACACAAACTGAATTTGTTATATTAAAGATATTTGAAACATTTATGTCCCGGCGACTTCAATATCACAAAGTGGTAGTCGATCCCAGAAATTTGGATAAGCCCGGACTACGCATTCCAGATGCGTTGATTGACGTAGGTTCGAATAAACCCCGTTTTCCCATCAAGTAGGATGTTTCATTATTTGGGTCTCGAAGGACAACCTCTCCTCCCCTAGACGAAGTCAGCGCCCCAAATCAAGAATTGGGTGCTACCGTTCACCAGCCATCGTCGCTCTCGGACGTCGCTTTGTGGCCTGCCGCTGCCACAAATTTCCAATGAAAGATCGACGATGAAGGCGAAATTTTGGGACCAGACTGTCCGGTATCGTGGATACGCAATGGGACAAACCTCCATACATGGTATCTCGAAACAGCAGACAACTTCATGTCCAATGTGAGATAGGTACTATACATCAGACAAAAAAACAATCGTCCTTTTGGGGAAAAAAATGTTCAGCATATTACCTCACGTAGGCCAAATGTTGCAGCTAGGATTGACGGTGTTCCAATGATCGTAGACTCCACAGCAGGTAGGAAGTTTTATTCATTGGATCCCGAAGGACCCCCCCTCTCCTCAGGAGGCAGGATGTTTTATTTTTTGGGTCCCGAAGGACCCCCCCCCCCTAACCCCCTTCCCCAAGAGCAAATCAGTAGCCAGGTGAAGGCAGCGTCCCAACTCTTCAAGAATTGGGTGCTACCATTCACCGGCCACCGTCGCTCTCGCCGCGTGGTCTGCAACAGCAACAGAAAAGATTCCGCAAGAATGCGGTGAATCTCTCCCCCCTCTTGGGGGGCGGTGCCTAGCTTCGGTTCAGCTCTGACGTCACCAGAGAGCTACTGGCTTTACCAGAGAGGCTCTGTTGACGCCAGAAGCTGGGATCCCAGGGATCCCAGCTTCTGGCGTAGGCAGGACTGGCGAATTGCCAGTCCGACATGCCTTAGCCTGACGTAGAAAAGTATTCCATGAGTCTTTGGGGACCAGCCATTTTGTTAAAGATTTTTAGTTCAATCGAAATTTCAAAGAAAATCGATGATGACGACGAATTTTGAGACCAGTCTTTATATAGTCCGGTATTGTTGATATGAAATTGGACAAACCCCTATATATGGCGTCTCGAGACAGCAGACAACTTTATGGCCAATGTGAAGTCTATCGGGCAATGAACATTCATCGTTTTCGCTTTAAGTATCAATACATTTGATTTTCAAACTTGATTCAAATTTCAAACATTTAAAATTGAAGGATAAGCCAATTAGAATTGTTTCTCAATGGATGATGAATAAATTGGTGCAAAAATTGCTTGCTGGCTTGATTGAAGGGCGTATTGCCCGTGGTTGAAGTTCATTGGTTCAACAATGGCAGTGCCAGCGTTTCAGCAATACACAAAACTAATATATAATATTATTAAATTATTATATTATTATATAATATATATAATATTATTAAATATATATGGCCACCACACGCATACGACCAGCCACACATGCTGCTGTAGCTCAACTCAACTTCTGCGTTCCAACTTCACTTGTAAATAAAAATAATATACATTTAAAAATTACTTTTTAAACACAACACTTCTAAAGAATCCAGTGTCTCCAATGTTAAAGATGTACAATGAATTTCTCATTTTATTTTCGAATATTAAAAAAATTAATTTTTTCAGTTTTTTGTAATAAAAAATTTATTCAAAATTATCTATTCTGTCAATTGATTCATGCATTGCCTCCAACTTCACAAAAGTGTGCAAATTTTCAGATCAACTGGACAGGTAAAAGTGTGTCAAATATCAGTTATAAGATTTGTAGCTGACAAAATTATTTTTTCAATATTTTTAATATTGAACAAAAATTTTTTTTTAATTTTTCAAATCGTTTATTCTGTCAATCCAACTTTACGCAAGTGTGCAAAATTTCAGATCGATAGGATTAGTAGAAATGTGTTAAATTTCGATTATAAGATTTGTAGCAGACAGACAGACAGACTACAAGAAGTGAAGTTAAAGAGAAGTGTTGTCAAAATGTCGCAAAAATCCTGTTAGAGCGCATAGTTGTATTGCGCAACAAGCCGGAGACCTCAGGAACATTATTGTCATACTAAAATGCAATAAAGGTGTCGACGAACGTCCGGTGACAATACGAATTGACGTTGAAATAACGTTAAATGAATACATTCGCGAGACATTCACCTCCAGAATCAGTGTTTTTCTTCCTGGCAGAGATGGCGAGGAGGCGTGATGATGGCAGACGCTCAGTGACGTTGTTGGAGCGTTGAGTGGGACATGAAGGGACGAAGTTGTCGTCGTGTTTGTCGTTGCGTTGGTAGCGCAACTCACCGTCACTTCCTTCTGGTTCTGAATCGTCTTCTGAAAAGCACCAGAACTATATAAAACTTTGCAACATACACATTGTAATATCTCCCAATGAAGATACATTTGAAAAAAATTTACAGCCAACATTTTTACCTTCTACGGAGAGAAAAATTATCAACCCTGACTGAAGTAGGGTATGGACATTAAACAAAAGTCAATAAAACTGCAATAAATAAATAGAGGAATTTTAAGTACAATTTCTCGTTCGGTGTTATTTAACCTACCGTCTGAAGATTTCTTTTTTTTCTGGCGATCCGGGAAGTCGTCTTCATCGTGGTCCACCTCATCCTCGTAGCCTTCTTTCATATCCTCCATCATCATGTAACGTACGCACGCCCCAGCCCCTGCGAGCTGTTTTGAAGAGCTGAAGTTTGATACGCAGCGGGTTCTGCACCACACGATTCTGGCATGTGTGCTTGCACGCGCATCTGCAGGAAAAACAAATGAAATTTTTTGAATAAAACCATAAAAACAGATCACAGTCGTGAGCAGTTGCCGACTTTCCAGTTACGATTGCCAGAGAACTTACTACTTGAGAAGTGCAAAAACTCGCAAGGAGCAAGAATCCGAGCGATAAAAAAATCGTAGATCACTGTTCGCTAATACACATAATATTATAACACTTCACTCGCCAGTATCAGGGAAATTGATGTTTCAATTAAAACGTATGATTGGGGTCACAAGTCTGATTTTTTTTTTTTATTGGCGTCGGATGCTTGAACAAACCAAGTGTTTAAGAACATTGTTAGAAGTCTACAAGAAAAAGTGTTCACGATAATATAACAGTCTTGGTATCGTTATTCACATACCTGGAGTTACATTCGAATATGCCTGAAGTGACTTGTTCGTAGAGGCGCCTGTGCACGTAGCCAGGGTCGTTGAGCTGAAGTTTAGGCGGCAGTCTCTTGTTGCTCTCGAGTGTTAGCTGCCAGCACTCGCAACGAGACTTATCCTGTTACCCAAGCGATTTGGTAATAATGAATCATTGCTGTGAACTGTGCACAACTGTGATCGTTTTAAATGAAGAAACCTTGCACAAATAATCAGTTGACACACCACGTAGCAGATGATCACATGATACGATAAAGCTTTCAGTAGTATCATACACTCTAGTTACAAGTAATCACTAGGTTCATTTTGTATTGAAAAAATAAATTATTACAATCCGATGTGTTGTTCAAACAACCAAGTTGAAAAACTCAATTGAATAAGATCGGAGGAATTTCAAGTTGCCGATTCATTAAAAAAAATCGATTTTCGGAGACGAGTATCAAATAAAATCTGATGCATCTATTGCAATATTTTTTACTGCAAATTTCACGTTAGAACGCAAGCCATAAGTACCTGACAGTCGTCCGTGCATGAAAAAAATCGATTTTCGGAGACGAGTATCAAAATAAAATCTGATGCATCTATTGCAATATTTTTTACTGCAAATTCCACGTTAAAACGCAAGCCATAAGTATACCTGACAGTCGTCCGTGCAGGAACAGCACACAAGGAAGTCAGTGTCGAGGTTGAGAGGAACGCCTGGTGCAGGCATGCGCACATTGCAGTACTCCAGAGGGAACGGCGGGTCAGAGTCCAGCGAATTGACACAATGGATGGGCATTGGCTCGACACCTTGACTGAAGTCCTGCGCAATGAAAGATTATATGTAAAGATTTGAACCATAAATGTGATTTTCAAACTTCCTGAAGTGTAAAAAGCCCATTTAATAAACTGGAAATACTACAATTGTTCCTTGTGCCTAAGGTTTCACAAGAAAAAATAAACTGACCGGAATTTTACCATTCAGGAGGAGTCAAAAATATGAGGAAAACCAATCTCGCCCGCATTCAAACCAGATAAAACAATTATTTAATGTAAAGAATTGCAAACAAATTGCAGGATCATAAAGAGATGCTCACAGGTATGGTGTACAATTCTTTGCTCGGAGCCCACTCGTTGATGACGTCTATGTTGAGCTCAAAGGAGAAATAGTCGATCTCCAGTTTGGAATGTGTCGTGCGTAGGTACACGAAGAGCTCATCAATGTTACGCAGCCGTCGGCAGCAGGGAGTCACGTAGTAAACACTGCGTCGCAAGATGGTCTTCTTGCGCTGCCGTACCAGCTGTCTGTTCAGTTACACAAGATACAAATGTTACGACTATGGTACTTATTCAATCCAAGGTAATAATTATATAATTATAGTAGTACTCAAAAAAAATTTAAACGGCAAACATAAAATCTTTTCAAGTGGGTAAAACCATTAAATTAACAGAAGACCCTGTGAACGCAAAGCTTTAAAGATTTTGAGCATGAGATGGACACTTCATATCAGCGTTCTGACCTCCTCCATCCTAGCACAATGGGGATGAGAAGAGGGGAGATGTAGCGGTTCTTCTTCAGGAGTTCCTCGCCCTTTGGACCGCCCACGCACGCAGAGCCACACTGATGAGGTCTGAAGCGACGCTCCAGTGGAGGAATTTGAGCTTTCTGAAGGCGGTAAAAAATTTAACAATTAAATACATACAACATTGATCTACAACTCTGCAACTAAAAATGCCTGAACTATATCAAATATTTTTTTTTCGCCATGTTATTTTTTTGAACGATTTCCATGAAAATACCTTATCACATACTAAGCGCAATCGGTTGCACATACAAAACGCGATAGATGGAAGGCATACTTTTATGAATCCATTCATCTCCTGCTTTATTTTCTCTAGGAGCTCAGGAGGAGGAGTGCCCGGTCGTGCGCCAGTGCTCTTCTTAGCGACAGATCTGTTGCCCGTGGGAGCTGTAGCCGAGGGAGCCGACGCTGCAGGAGCAGATGTCGAGGTGGCTGTGCTGCTTACGACTGAAACGCACATGCCTTCACTTACAATTACCGTATGTCATCAGAAATCTCATCAAAATTTCCACGCAGTCAACAAGTAGTGTCTAAACCAGCTAGTGAATCAATTTAATTGGCACATTTGATCAACAATACGAGAACATATTTTAGAAACTAAACCAAGAATCATAATTTACTTTGAAGTTCAAGTAAAACTAATAGTTGGCTGAGGATAATTGCACGAAAATATCTCTATGGAATCGTAATATAGGGGTGTTGAAAATACTCAAGTATTTTGTACACAGTTAATACATCATACTTGGTGTTGGCAGTGAAACACGCGAGCTGTTACCAGATGGAGTGGATATGAGGCTGCTGGGGAAGGAGGCATTGAGAAGCAACGGAGGTGGAGGATGAGAGATGGCAGCAGTCACTGACTGAGGCGTAAACTTCTCGCGAGGAGTTACTGCGAGAAAAAACATATATCAGATTGGCAACGAAATGAAAATATATTTACAAAAAATCATCAAATACAAAATCTATGAATTTGTCAAGACATGAATAGAGCGGAAAAATAAATATTTACATAAGCGAGATAGTTAAGCAACGTACGTGAAAAAATGAAATTATCACACAGTGAAAATTAATTAATGTTGGAAATGTGATGCGTGTGTGTGCCAATCCTGGATCCTGGTAGTGACCATTTAGGAAGGGAGTGGCTGATCGATGGTTCCATTTTGTTAGGTCAGTTTTTCTGGGAAGTTCCATCACCATCACTGGCTCGCTGATCCACCAGAACCATTTTATTGCATTACACAATAGCCTGAACAAGCCAGGCATTGAGTTATCAACCAGAAGTGGATTAATTACTGAGTTTACCATGCGTTGAGCTTTATGAAAGAACTTATGATCCCAATTGGAACTCGGACCCAGACTGGTGTAAAAGACAAAGCCTCTCACTGCACTGCACAGCTCTGCCAATGCAGTGTTGACAAACTTAGTGCACTAGCAACGGCTGACTGACTAACCTGTGCTGCTGCCTAGAGGAGTCGGCAGGATGCTTTCTTGCCCGAAGGTGCAGTACTCTACGACGGGGCCGGCTTGCTGCGGGAGAAAAATACAGTACTAATAATATTGAGAGTGATAATGGCCAATTTTAAATGAGATCAACTTCATATCAGCAACGTAAATCGTAATGACCTTGCTAATACATCACGACTAGGTTAGGTCAGAGACAAAGCAATTACAATATTCAAATTCAACTAGAATAACTAGATGTTGCCTGCCCTGCTCTGTTCTTAATTCATTTTATCCAGAAGGGAAAATTACAGTTCTCACAATTCATTTTATCCAGAAGGGAAAATTACAGTTCCCACAATTCATTTTGTCCAGAAGGGAAAATTACAGTTCCCACAATTCATTTTGTCCAGAAGGGAAAATTACAGTTCCCACAGAATTTACCATTTAAATTAAATTCGGATCGCACAGAGTAGCCGACATATATTCACAAAGCAATACAACATTATCTCATCAGCACCACAATTTCCAGTAGTTCTCACTAATATTCGGATTTCGGTAACAAATATAAGAAATTTTTATTTCTCACCCTGCCCGGGATCATGGCTCGTCTCCTAACGGTGAGCCGCGAGTGCTGCTCGGCGTTGGCTTGCAGGCTCATCTTCTTCTGGAAGAGCGGACTGAGGCGCGTCGAGCCTCGGTAGATCCATTCACTGAGCTCGTGGGTCGGGAAGTACATCTTCACCAGGGATCCTTCCACCTCCAATACCTGAGCTCGCCACCATTTACCTAGAACGCAAATCCACGATGTGCTTGAGCATAGAGGAGATTGATGACATTGAAAGAAATAATTTCATTATATGAAAGAATGCAAAAATTTAAAAGCAAAACAAAGCAACAGTTTAATTAAAAAATGAAGCTAGATTGTAAACACAGTGGAAATTGAGCACCAATTAAACGGGTCGCAGTAATAGAAGGCCGCATTTCATTAGAAGGTACCCTTACCATTGCGCTCTGTTTTGACGTTATTCCACTTCTGTAGGCGCACCATCGGTCGTTCAGGATACATTTGAACATATTCTTTGATGAAAGCTCTGGAGTCAGAACAAACGTCATCCCATGCCTGAGCTGAGGCCTCCGTCACAACTCTGATGTGATGGTGCAGGACGTATTGCGCGTAACCGTCGTCGAAGAAAATCAGGTATCTGTTACAAAGAAATTACAGATGAGGATGCATTAATGGGAAAGATAGAGATATTTTATTCTATCATGAAAAACAACCACACAACAAAAATAAAAAAATATACTATGAGCTTATACTATACTAAGCTATATGTATACTATACTATACTACTACCTATACTATGAGCTTAAGCTTAAGCAGTCTGACAACACGTGAGACTTGATGAATAAATCCTTCAACAGATTACCCAATAATAAAATAAATACAATTACCACTGACTTGAACTTATTGGCGACAGTTGGCACCTCAGCCACAATGCCGACATAGAAGCCATTGGTCGAGGACGTGTCATGGCGGCCGTTCTTTTGGTCATCCTTACGGCCGTTCTTCTCCTCATCCCTGAAGCGAGCGATGACCCGCGTTCCCACCACCAGCCTCGTCGCGCACTGGTATTCATAGGCAAGTTGTCTGCCCGTCAGCTCCTTCATTTCGGCTTGGAAGCGGTTGTAGCGCACCATGTACCGAGTGTTCTAGGGAAACATTACAAGTATTTAATACGGTAAATATACTGTCTAGTCGCAGTTGTAGCGCACCATGTACCGAGTGTTCTAGGGAAACATTACAAGTATTTAATACGGTAAATATACTGTCTAGTCGCGGTTGTAGCGTACCATGTACCGAGTGTTCTAGGGAAACATTACAAGTATTTAATACGGTAAATATACTGTTTAGTCGCGGTTGTAGCGCACCATTACCGAGTGTTATAGGGAAACATTACAAGTATTTAATACGGTAAATATACTGTTTAGTCGCGGTTGTAGCGCACCATCACCGAGTGTTCTAGGGAAACATTACAAGTATTTAATACGGTAAATATATTAATATACAGGGTGTCCCAAAAAAACTATACTCAACTTTGAATGGCTGTAACTCGAAAAGTAATAGAGTTAAAAAAAAGTGACGTGTGCTAAAATCGTGCTTGCGCAAAGTTTTAGTAAGATCATTTTGCATAATCATTATGTTGTCTTGACATGTTTTCTTTTCGCTGTTTGATTTTTTGTATCTTTGGTGAGACAAAAACATGGCAATCTTTGGTGAGAGACAATCATGGCAATCTTTGACAAAGATTGCCATGTTTTTGTCTCACCAAAGATTGTCATGATTGTCTCTCACCAAAGATTGCCATGTTTTTGTCTCACCCAAAGATACAAAAAATAAAACCGTGAAAAGATAACATGTCAAGACAACGTAATGATTATGCAAAGTGATCTTACTAAAACTTTGCGCAAGCATGATTTTAGCACATGTCACTGAAAGTTCTATCAAACGCTTCTGGCTTCATCGAGCTGTCTGATTTTTGGTGGAGTGATGGAGAAAAACATAGGGAACAAATCCTGACTCCTAATTTTTTTCACTCTATTACTTTTTGGGTTACAGCCATTCAAAGTTGAGTATCGTTTATTTTTTTGGGACACCCTGTATAGTCTATTCGCGGTTGTAGCGCACCATGTACCGAGTGTAATACAGTAAATATGCAGTCTAATAATATAGACTGTATAGTAAATGTAGTAAATATACAGTCTAATCGCGGTTGCAGCGCATCATATACGTAATGTTCTAGGGAAACATTACAAGTATTTAATACAGTCTCTTTTCAGTCTAGTTGCAGTTGTAGCGCACTATATACGTAGTGTTCTAGGGAAATATCAAAAGTATTTAATACAGTCCATGGAGATACAATTCACCCTGTTACCCATGTTGAGGATCATAAATCAATTCTACACAGACATTCAATTTTACACATTATAGATAGTAACTAGACATATATAATAACCTCAATGCAAGTTATTTAAATCCAATTTCACAGGACAGTGAATCGTACGGAACGTGGTTTAATAATATGGTGAATTAAGACTTACATTTTCTTCCTTATGGACAACACTGACAACGACAGCGGGCACCCAGCGCGAGAAGAGCGAGAGTCTCATGGCATATGAATCGTACGGAACGTGGTTTAATAATATGGTGAATTAAGACTTACATTTTCTTCCTTATGGACAACACTGACAACGACAGCGGGCACCCAGCGCGAGAAAAGCGAGAGCCTCATGGCATATGAATCGTACGGAACGTGGTTTAATAATATGGTGAATTAAGACTTACATTTTCTTCCTTATGGACAACACTGACAACGACAGCGGGCACCCAGCGCGAGAAGAGCGAGAGCCTCATGGCATAGACGGCCTGCCCAGGTACGAGCTGTGGCCGCATTAGAGGAGCGACGGGCGGCAGCGATGCTTGACATGTGACATGCTCCGAGGGAACCACGTGCACCTGTCAGGTGCAACATTGCTTAGCTATAAGTGCAAACATAAGCATACAACTAAACAATAAACGATTCTTTATTATTGTAGCTACTCTAGCTAGCAATACAAACACCAAACTGTACAACTTTAATAGAGCAAGCAGTAAAAAAGTTCAACTATATGCTACAATATAAATGCAGCCTGTAGCGAGAACATCCAAATGATAGTTCTTGCATTTGTGGTCTGAATAGTATAGTAATGTGATATGGAAAAAAGTTAATAATGGCAAGTTTGAAACTATTTGATAACTCTTAATGATACAACCTAAATGTGTTGCTGTCAACTACACATTATAGTAACACCCTTGTCAATATTTTTTAATGAAAATACTTACGTAAAAGAAATTTCTTGCAAAAGGGATATCACTGCCAAATGAACCTAAATTTGAAAGAAACATCAAAACAAATTACATCTTTTTCAACAGGAATGAGCCTAGAGACTAATTAGCGCCAACCTACAAGAAGGGATAGCCTACCTGGTCGTCCAGCCCAGGATTGTTGTCTACGTCCACCTCTGGGAGCAGCTGGAAATACAGAGAACACGTGATTAGCAGTAGAAGATAATTCATAAATTAACCGTCAATATTAGGAATTAGGCAGCAATTTAATATTAGTAAACTTTGTATTTTTATCTGCCACTAGCAGCTAGAATCATTTTAGAATTTTCTGAAATTTCAAATTCACATAAAAACTGAATGTGAAAGAGAATTAAGTAAAGTTAAAATAAGGGTAGTAGCCAGCTTACCTTAATTAATTTCAGCAATGACCAACAAAAAGTCATATCTTACCTTGATCTTTGGTTTAAAAGAATCATAGAAGGAGCATCTGATGCTGTGAAGTTCTTTTTCAATTTTGTTGTACTCCTCATCCATCTCTTTGAGGCCATTTTCAGCTTTAGCTATTCTAGACGTAACGTTCTCAATGCCTTCATCGACATGCTTCTTGAGCGCAAGAGAATCCACCATATTCTCTAGCATACGCTTCAGTCTGTCTGGTTGCTCTGCATCTCCTGAGTCTTTGTCACTATCAGACCCTGACAATGACAGCTCCAATACAGACTCTTCACTTTCAACTGAAAAATTGAAAGGAGATTTGTGTGCAAGACATCAACTTGTGCAGAAATGGATGTGCTCAAAAGTCAAATCAAAATCCAGCATCAAAAGAAAATTTTCAACATAAGTTATGGGGCTATCCAAAGAAACTTTAATTCCAACTTATTGATGCACAATTTTTTTATGTCTCTAGAGGTGGACTCACAGAAAGATTTTCATAAATAAATTCTAGCCATACATTTTTAATTTTGCAAGGAACCTAATAATAAAAGTAAAACGATAACTAAAACAGTACAACAATATCAAATTCTTCTCAGTAACCTTGTTGCTTTTACTTCTATGATAGAAAAATTTCAATATGTATAAACATTGCAAAAATTTTATCTTCACGAACAAAACAATGTTAAAAATTAATTCAAACCCATATAGAACATACCATCATCTGGATCAGATTCGGAGTCTGTGAGAAGCACTGTGTCTCGTTGCGGTTCATTGTTGATAAGAATGATGTTCTCACCATTTCTGACTTTTTCAATAAGCTTCTGTTGATGCAAGGAAAAGCACGCCAAGCATGGCAGACAGATCCTTGTTTTTCTGGAAATGAAATTATATAAACAATCAATTCAGTTCTAAATAAATCACATATGCATATATGCTTTTATGGTAAGCAAGAAGACAAAATTAAGATCAAAGAATTATAATACTGATAAGAAAAGAATAAATTGGGATTAGCTTTAATTTGTAGAAACATTTCATTTGTATTCACATCAAAAATAATGCTTTACAATTTTGTATTCTTTGCTCCCTTTGTTTTTAATGGCTTGTACAAAATAAATTGTTGAATTTTGTTTGACACTTGCAATAAATATAAATTAGCAATGACAAAGTCCAAAAAAAATTTATTTAAACAATTTTTTGTATTTCACTAAATATGTAGTACTTGGGATAAGCAAGAACTCCATAGAAGCGTCTAGCTGCTGCAGGGGCTTTTCGCAACCCTTCCCGTGAGTGGCATTCAGAGTTGAGGCACCGAGCCAGTTTGGGAGGATCAGCAGCAGCCAACGGATTGGTGATTCTCTGCTCACATACCACCTGCAAGAAACAATTAATTATTTTAAATAGAAACAAAGCAGCAGAGAGCAGAATTTAAAATTTTATACATTATTTTTAAGCTAGAACTAAAAAAGAATCAAATCTATAAAAAAAAGGTTCGCTTTACCTGGATACATTTCCTATTAATTTCGTAATAACCCAAGACTTTTGCAGGCATTTTATTATATATTGGAGTTGCAATATTTCAGAAAAACAGAATTAGAACAGTGCTACTTTTTTCTGAAGTTTCATGGCTCCACAGCAAGAATATTTAGCGGTTCTAAAGCTGCATCATTATATTTATTGGTATTAGTTATTTTATTTTATTTGCTCCTTCCCGTTACCATTACTGTACTAAATTAGGAAAATTTTGGAGCATGTATACAGAGGGTGGATAAAATAATTAACATGAAAAAATTTCATGTTAATTCTTTACTGTTGTTGCTACTTGATATTTTATCTTTTCACAGATATTTTTAGTGAATTCCTGTTTCTATAACCTAGCCTATACATTGCAAACCTCTCTGACTTTCAAAGAGGCCAAATTGTTGGAGCCCGTATAGCTGGTGCTAGTCTCAAATTCTTGATGTTTCTTGAGGTACTGTTTCAAAAGTAATGACTGATTGTTGATTATGACTTGGTACCTAAATCGAATTGTGAGGGACAACCAAAAGGCCACAGATGTTAAAATTACTGCAGACCTCAATGACACCTACAGAAGCCAGTTTCTATAAAGACTGTGAACCGAGAGCTGCACAGATCTGGCCATTAGATATCCTCTAGTTCTAACTACAAATGCTTTGAAGCATTTAGAGTGGTGTAAAACCTCCAGAATTGGTCCCTTGAGCATTGGAAGAATGTGATTTTCTCCAAAAATCATCACTACGGTACTTTATTTACAACCTCTGGCCAAGATTATGTTTGGAGACGGCCAAGGGTCTTAAGAGTCCTGACTGTCTTCCTGCTAACCTGAAAACATAGCGGGGAATATGTGAAGCTATTTTTTGGAAATCTGGAATGCTGATGATTTCTTTTCATAGAAGAATCAACAGCCGTAAATATTTAGGAATTTTGGAGGACCAATTTCATCCAATTTTTCAAACACTGTTTCCAGAGGGGAACACTGTCTTCCAAGATGCTAATGCCCCAATCCATGCTGGAATTGTTAAAAAATTGCACAAGGAACATTCTAATGAAGTTGAGCATCTCATTTGGCCACCATAATCACCAGACCTGAATATTATCAGGCATTTATGGTCAATTCTAGAGATGCAAGTCGGAAGACGATTCCAGCCACCATCATCTTTAAAAGAGCTGGAGGTAGTTTTAAGGGAAGCAGGTATGTAAAAAAAAAAACTTTTTTATTTAGTGACAGACCATTTTGAAACATGGTACACATATACATACAATAGAAATCTATGAAATTTGTTGTCAAATCTATGTAAATTTGTTTGAAAAATGAAAGAGAATGCAAAATTCATAGAAAATGGCAAAAAAGGGGTAGGGGATAGAACATTAAGAGACATTTGTGAAGACCATATCAAGTGATCATCCAATGACTTTTTCCAATTTTTTCATAATTTTTCTGATTTTTTCTATTTTGGCCCCACCCACCAATTATTTCAATATATAATCCAAACAAAAAAGAAACCAGAAAAAGTGATCAGATGCTTGCTAGGTCAGGTCTTTACAAATCAATTGGTGTATCTCTCAATGCTGTAGCATGAAAATCATAGGGCAAGATAAATTTTTAATATGAAAATTTCAAGTTTTCAGAAGATCCAAAAAACAAATTTGTGATCATTAAAGGTATAAAAGTCTTATCCAGGCTGGTATGGACTGTCATGAACCAACAAATGAACACACAAACATGGATTTGGGTTCTTTAAATGCGCAGTTCATTGAACCTTTAAAATGAGCTAAAAAAACAGAAGTTTAAATTTTTAATTTCGACATACATGCTCCCCTAAACTGATGAAGGGCTTAAAATTTCTTTGGAAACAATTCACAAATGCATGAATCAATAGTGTGGTGGACCTACACCACACTAAAATACATTTTGTAGATTTTGCAGGCGTTTCCCTTATTTTGTTCAGCCCTTGTACCCTATATACATCTAATTAATAGTAGAACATTAAAAATTTATTCACATTGTAGCAATTTGACTATTCTCATGTGAGGTGATGAACTTGCCATCAGCTTATACTGGTCTATTGTCACTACTTGATTCAATGGGGAATTAAAGTTGATATTTCCTGATCTTTACAGTAAAAAATTAAAACCAAGTGGTACATACTACATAGCCTATTACAAAGAAACATGCATAGTTAGGAAATTGAGATTTTTGAGGAACATGGACACCTGTTTGAACATTGCAGGAGCTGATTGGTTAAATCAGCATTGGAGCTGATTTAAACAGTACCTTGCTTAATTACTGCTCATCAACTGGCATTTGGCTTCCCTTTACAATAATTGAAAACTTTGTATACAATTCAGCAAAACTATAAAAGAATAAAAAAAACATTAACTCACACAAAGTTGAATTAATGCTCTATCTGCCATCTTAATACATTATAGAAATGAGTAAAATGTGAATGAAGAGCATGTCTTCAGGAAGACTGTGCTATAACATAATGTTTACAACCCCTGGTAAGAACATCCACATTTCAGATGATTAATGTTACAAAAGAAGTAAGCATAGAAAGACAGGAGTTGAATATGGTATTATACTTACATCATCATCATCTGATAAATTGATTATTTCTGCCATTCTCATTAACTATTAATACTTGAAGCACTGTAGCACCTAGATTTGAAAATACACTTGAACTAATTTTTATTCAAGTAAATCAGATATAAAATGACTTTAGAAGTTCCATCAATAAAATAGAACTCAAAAATTCATATGAAACCTCTTTCAGGTTTTATCTTCATCTAATGTTTCATTTTTTCAATTGCTGATTTATGAGAGTTTTATACATTTAGTTGCAAATACTTTGCAACAAACTCAACTTTTTATATCTGCAGATAAAAATTTATTATTAATTATTGAGATTAGGATCAAAGTTCATAAGGTATGCAGCATCAACAATTGTTCAAAAAACAATGCAGCATCAAAAATTAAATTCTTGGTTGAGCAAAGATATGGGCCACTAGCCTGGAAAACACCTACCTTCTACCGCACCTGTATGGCTGCAGGTGCCTGTGACTAGAGCTTTCCTGCCATTTTTGGGACCACAAGATTTCCAATAGATGAATTATATCCCATCCCATCTAACTGTTAACAAAAATGCAGGATTGGGCTGCATGATTCCAATTGTATAAAAAATTTGTCACTTTGAAGCCAAAAGATTCTATTCATTACTCATAAGTAAGGAAATTCCAATCTAGATGGGCCACCAAAAAGAAAATGCTTAATAATCAAGAGATGTCAGGAACATTATGATGGATCAGCAGGTAAGTAACCGCAAGTTTAGTACATATTTTATATATATAAATGTTTGTTGGTCTCAGGGGCAGGATAGAATTCTGAAAATTAAGGTTCATATATTATTTTTGATCAACCTCCACCACTTTTTTGACCCAAAAATTTTAGTTAAGATAGAAAGAATAAAAATAGGAGAGTTTAAAGTTAGACTTGAAAGAATCAACAATTAAGGTTGCAACACTTTAAGATTTCAATTTGACTAAATATTAATTCATTAGCAATTTGTCTCCAAGTCAAGCATAACAAATTAACATTTATGAATTAATACATAAGAGTAAATAGGAATTTGAGACAGTCATCCCACATTTTTTAGAACTGTTGTAGCAGCCAAATTAATCAAAATATTGCAAAACTAAAAATATTGGCATAAAGTCCTACATTTTTAGTGCATTTTCTCATTTATGGAAAAAAGGCGCTATTGTGCTCGTCATGTCCGTCTGTCTGTCCGTCTGTCTGTCCGTCTGTCTGTCCGTCTGTGACTTCACGTTTTTTTCAACGAGAAAACGCGCTCTCTGTTACTTGCTGCAGTGAGTAGGTACTGAGTTATATTTTTACTATCTATGTAGCATATAGCAAGTTGAGAAATCATACGTAATTAACGTAAATTACTACCTCTAAAAATATCCCCAAAAAAGCGTGATAAGTGAGACTTTGGAAAAGTGCCTCTGCTAGGTCTGTAGCGAAATAAATATTCCCCATGTTATAAAAATTTACAGGGTAATAACTAATAAGGAATAGGGACACCCCAGGGAATAAGGGAATAATAACTCCCTAGTCCCCAGGGTCATTACTAATAAGGGAGTAGGGACACCCCCAAAAAAAACATTTTACAGTAAAACCTTGATTAGCAAAGCTACAGTTAAAAAAAACTAAATAAAAACAAAAAAAATTGAGTACATTCACCTTGTTCAGCAAAAAAAAATTCACTTGATGAAAAATTAATGCATCATCATTCATCAGCCTGATCAGGCATCACAAAATTGTGCATAGAATGTCATAGATAAAAATCATAAAATTGTGTGCCAGGCAACCTAGAATTAAAATAATTTAACCTAAGCTATGATTTATTTCTCCAGAAAATATGATGGTTGTCACTAAAATATTTTTTTCTGTTTTAGGTATGTTTTAGCAATCTTTTTTTTTATAGTGAATTCACTTGACCCAGTTAAAATGGTGTGATAATAACAAGTCATCCTGTAAGCTTAGGTACTTACACCACTACACCAGTACGGTATGTCCTTTGTCCAGTTTGAGGCCACAGGCCAGAGGCCTAGGCACTCAAATTTCTCTCACTAATAGTCTAATAATAATTAAGGACTCATATTGCCAATGTCAAGATGGCATTGGAATAGGTAGATATGTTATGTTCATATTACTTAATTAAAATAATTGCGCACAGATAAACATCAAAGTTCAAACTTCACAGCAGGAGCAGCATTTGTTTGATCGCAAGGCAGAGGCTGCTCAGAGCCCAGAGGCACACTGCACAACTGGTACAATTAGGAGCATGCATCTTTATGATCTTACAGTTAGGCTACACATTGTTTCAACTCAGGTAGCCTAATGCAATTTGATCCTATTTATAATCAATGTTAACTTTGTAGTCCATAGTGGCAAATCAGAGAGCTCTTTAGGCTCTCCTTCAAGTTCAAATTTAAGTCCTATAAGTAGACCAGAAAAGTATTGTGGATACCTGCATCATCATACATAAGACATTGGCTTAAATTTCGAGTGAATGAGAAAATTAAAAATGATCTGATTCTAAAAAAATCACTGGTTTGTCACTATGCTTTGTACCAAAAGTGACAAAAACAGTAGTGCAAGTCTGCAAGAGGCTAGACTAAAGAGCTCTCATTGACACCGAGTGATCAAGGCATGCCTTTTGTTCAGAGACCACCACTGCCAGGCTGGCCTGGGCATGGTGATTGGTGGCATACCGTGGCAAACCAGTGATTTTTTTTAGAATCAGTTCATTTTTAATTTCCTCATAATCATTTTCTCAAGATATAAACCATTAACCAATATCTAATGTATGAACTATGAATGATGATGCTGGTAACTTGGTAAGTGGTATCCATGATACTTTGCTGGTCTACTTTGAATTGAATTGAAAGAGAGTCTAAAAAACTCTATGCTTTGCCACAAGGTGTCCTAGTGGTTACAGTTCAGACTTCAGAGTACAAAGATTGGCGCAGAGAGGCGCAGGTTTGATCCCCAGTTTCTGGTCAGAATCGGCAAAGAGGTCGGGCGGTTAAGCACAGCAGAATTGTAGCAGTCAGTTGCGAGTTCGAGACCGCGAAATGCGGTCAATGTTCTGCGATGTTAATAATCGGCAACAGGCCTACGGCCTAATAAACGCTGAAACCGCTATTATTATTTTTACTATGCTGAGTGCCGGGTTTCAAATCGACCATCATACGATCCCTTCCCTCAACAACGGAGCTTTTAACATCTCTGGACTATAACATTGTAAGCAACCAGACAGATCACATCCAATCAGTAGTAGTAGACCAATCAGCCCACAGGAAAACAGTCTGCAATAGTTTGGCGTCTGCCGATGCGCGAAGAAATTTTTTTTTTTTCAAATTTGCGGGAGCCTCTGAAGACTAGTCCAATGTGGCCCCACGACCGAGTTTTGAGTTATAGTTGTTAATCAATTTAATTAATCACTTAATTTTTTTTAATTGATCACTTTAATCACTCGCTTTAATCACTTTTACTATTTTAATTAATCACTTCAATTCATCACTTTAATTAATTGGCTCTCTACCAACTCATTGAAAACCCTACCTAACTCAAACTGCCTGCACGGCTCAAACTCTCCCTAGCATCTGTTGAGGAGAACACTCCACGGCAGAGCCGCGAAACACGGCAGCGCCGCGAAACACGGCAGCGCCGCAAAACATGGCAGCGCCGCAAAACACGGCAGTGCCGCAAAACACGGCAGCGCCGCAAAACACGGCAGCGCCGCAAAACACGGCAGTCGCAGAACACGGCAGTCGCAGAACACGGCAGTCGCAGAACACGGCAGAGTCGCAGAACACGGCAGAGTCGCAGAACATGGCAGAGTCGCAGAACACGGCAGAGTCGCAGAACATGGCAGAGTCGCAGAACAAGGCGGAGCCGCAAAACACGGCAGAGCTGTGAA